TTTTTTTTTTTTTTTTTTTTTTTTAAATGTTAAATCTGTAATTTTCTTTGATACATTGAGGCATGAATGTTGTGGGAATAAAATAAATATTCATTTGCCATTTTCCTTCTCTTTTTTTAATTATTTAAAAAATAAGATATATATATATATATATATATTGCCGAATTTAAAAATTTTAAGTAACACTCTTAAATTTAAAACATAAATAAATAAAATAAAAATTCAAAACAAACACTTTTAAATTTTCAAAAGTCTTCAGTTTTCGAAAATATTATTAATACTCTTTAAATTTGTTTTAAAAGCTTACGAAAATATTATTAATACTCTTTAAATTTGTTTTAAAAGCTTAAAAAATATTCTTACCATTAATACTACAATTCAAAAATATTCGTGAACCTTTCAAAAGTAATGTCTATATTATTGGCAGTAAACAAAATTGAACTCTTTTTTTAGTAAAGATAATTATTAATATTTTGAAAATTTTATAGGTATTTTTTAAATATATGACCACTAATAAGAGTATTTTTTAAAAAAAAAAAATTAAAATTTTAAAGGGTATTAAAAGAAATTTAAGTTAGAATACTTTTTAGATTTTTTTTTTTTTTTTTTTTTTTGAAAGTTTGTATTTTTTTAGATAAAGTATAAAGTTTAATAATATTTTTATTAATTTAATTTTTTTTTAATTCGTTTCGATAGTTTGAGAATGGGCTTCCGTTGGTGATCCAACTCCAGAACTTAAGGCCCATTATTATTGGGCTGTGTTAAATTCGCGGGATAATTAAAAAAACCTTTTTTACTTTTAATTTACACAAATTTCTGCTACTCAGACTTTCTATTAAAAAATGTCATATCTTAATTACATTAATCCCTCACATCAATATCTAATTTGACATATATATATATATATATATATATATTGAAAGAATAAGACAAAAATATCATACCATGACACATACCATCATGACATATTGCAACTAAATTTTAATCGAGATATTCCTCTTATTCAAGAAAAATTATTGTACTTATTTACGTTGAAGCGTTATTATTCCATAAAAAAAATGGAAAATAAATAATTTGAGGTAGAGCTTTTAGAATATGGTTTAAAAAGGCATTGAGAACATTAAAGGCAAAAGGTTATAATTATGCTTGCCCATTTTTTTGTGTAAGCATTTCAAAGCATTTTCCGATTTATGTGGTCAAGTTGTTGAAAAAAAAAATGTAATTATTATGTTTTTATAATTATTATTCGATCCCATACTTATTAAGTTTATATTTTAAATTTAATAATATTATTATTTACATTGAGTTTATAAAAAATAATGGATTAAATGGAGGGTTTCAAACAAAATTAGTAAAATCACTCTCAAAGTTCCCACTAAAATAAGTTTTTTTTATTTTTCCGCTACTTTAATGATAAGTTTAGGCAATGGAATTGCTGACCGTAAAGTAGAGAGAAACGAAGTTAGAGATCGAGGGGAAGGAACAAGAACATCTAGAATAAGCATGACACGAGCTCTATCTATGTATGGCTAATTCATTTACTTTTCTTGACTATTCAGTAAGTGGGTTTATTCAATCCATAAATCTAAATAATTAAAAATACGACGCCTATAAAAAAAGATACTTTGAAGGCTTCGGCGAATGAAAGGAAGTTGGCGGAGAAAGCTCGTTTCCAATTTCCCTTTTTTTTTTTTTTTTTTTTTTTTTGGTTCCCAGAAACGTGTCTAATGCATAATTTCCATTTTAGGATAAAATTTGTGAGAACACAAATAGACTGCTAGTCGTCTTCTCAAGGTTTTTAAAACATGTTTGCTAGGGAGAGATTTCCACACCTTTATAAATAATGTTTCGTTCTCCTCCCCAACCGACGTAGAATCTCACAATCTACCCCCTCCCTCCGTTCAGGGTCCATTGTCCTTACTAGCGAGTTCCCCTCTCCAATCGACTTTAAGAGCCCAGGGTCCTCGCCGGCACTTGTTCCTCTCTCCAATCGATGTAGGATCTCACAATCCATCTCTTTTCGGGGCTCAACGTCCTCTCTGGCATACAACTCAGTGTCTGGCTCTAGTACATATCAATTGGGGAGGAGAACAAAGCATTTTTATAAGGGTGTGAAAACTTTTGTCTAGCAAACACGTTTTAAAAACTTTGAGGGAAAGCCCAAAAAAGAAAACCCTACAAAAGACAATGTTTAAAAATGTTTAAAAATGTTTAAAAATGTTCGACACATTATAATGTAAAGTTGGACAAACAAAAATATAATGGTATGCTAACATAGTTTCAAAAATTTAGAATTAAATGGATGATATAAGACATAAAATAGGTATAGGCATGTAATAATAATGTAAAGATTTGGTGGGGTCATGAGGTGGACACAATAATGAGTTGGCATATCAAAACTTTCACGTTTACATGTGAATGGGTGATGAATAATCATACACCAACTACTTTACACCCACCTCCCTTCTTCAATCTATATATTCTTTATGCCAACTCATACTCCTATTATAAAACTTACATTATAATACAAATATAAAATTTCTATTTTAATTTTACAATTTATTTATTTATTTATTTTTAAAAAAAATTCCATTAACACTCTCCAATTTTTTTAAAAAATTAGAAATATATTCCTATGTTTTCCAAACTTTTTAATTTTTTAAAAAATTTAAAGATATTAATGTTGTTTTTAAAAGTTTGAGATGTTTTATTTTTTATCTTGACATATTATTGAAACTTTTAAAAATTTTATTCAATTCTTAAAATAAAAATTGAAAGGTTAGAGATTGTTTTTTTTTTAATTAATTTAACGATGTATTTTTATATCATTTATCTCAAACCCAATAAATGAATGGCACTTTTTACCAAAAAGAAAAAACTAATTATTTCTTTTTATGTATTACTTTTCTTCGGATGCGTCTTTTTTATCTTTTCTCCCTACTTTCGAGCTTCGAATACAATTGGATTGCCCTTTACTACTCCCGAGCCTACATAAATTGAAAGATTCCATCGTCTTCGAATACATTTGTGACACTACTAATTTGTCTTTACACTCTGTGTCGTTCTATACTATCTTTAAAACACTCGTTTTGCAATGTTCGCCTTATGAGACACACATGTATCATAGAGTCTAGTGGTGGTGGAGAGCTAATACCATACCACATCCTATATTGCATTTTGAGGCATTTATAATTATTCTTTATTTTGGCGAGCAATCATATGGCTCTGTGTAACGTTCATCAAGTATTCGATTGACATCAAATTTGGTGAACTTTTATCTTTTATATAGGCTGACTTAACTCTAGAATTGCATGTCGAAACATATAACAAAACTTTGACTTTTCTAAAGTTATAGCTTGTGTCTGATGCTCGTGTCGCATCATTCTCTAGAATCTTGCGTATACTTCAACTTAGCTTGAATGCACACTCTTGATGTGTTGGATGATGCATTGTCTTTTTCAGTCGCATCATGACACTTATCAATCTTGGCACCAACCTACTTTATCTCATGGAGTTGTGTCACAATAAATTTATATACCAAATAAAAAATTCAACAAATATTACAGCGCAGTAAAAAAAAATAAAAAAAGGTAAAAGAGTACCAATTGTGTAAACTGGGCCAATCAAATTTGTACAACAAGATATGGATGCTTCACTCTGAATGACAGCCCGATTACGCTGCCCCCTGCCCGTGCCCTGCCCTAACCGTTTACCCTGTTTCTGCTTAAATATCAATCTCAATAATTTAAACTTTATCCACTAAATTATTTTCCAATTGTTACAAATTTTAATTAATAATTACACCGCCACGTCATAATGCCCTATTACCCCTTCCATTATTTTTCTCTTCCTCTTTTCTTCTTCTTTACGAAAAAAATTTGTGTACTCTCTCTCTTTTAAATTAATTGCACGGCTTCCCTTTCGTACCCCTCAAGTTTTTTTTTTTAATACATTGTCTAATAATTTAACTTCTTTTTTTTATTAACATTAAAAAAATTAAACTAATTCAATTTATTAGTTGCTTAATCTGTTGTCGGGTTATTTAAGTTAAAAAAAATTATAATTCGAATAATTAGATTATGTCTATAAAATGGCTCGATTCGATCTAATTCAACTCAGAAGTGAAATAGTATAAAAAATGAGGTTGGTATGTTAATTTATTGCTGTTACGCAAGATAATATAAAATGAATTAATTTTTTAATGTAGAGTTTTAATAATGATCAAGTTGAGGAAGATAGGGTGACAAAAAAGAAAGACAACATTAAATGGATGAAGTTTTGATTATATTATGTTTTTTTTTTTTAATTATTAAAAAAAGAAAAAAAAAAGAAAAGAAAAAAGCAAATCAGCCAGAAAGTTGAAGAAAGGAGAGGGGTGGCCCACACAACTAACAGCTTAGACATTTATAGTGGGGGCCCACTAAATGCTCAACGGCTGGCAATCACGTGCCGCTCTCAGACGGATTTAAACGTTGTTCCAATTTTATATACGCTGTCCCGTTTCCGCTGTTTCTTTGTTTTGTTTTTTTTATTGTTATTTTCTTTCCCTTTCCATCCATTTAATTAATTGCCCCGACATCCCTCCATTTTGTAATTTATATACATACATTTATAATATTAAATATATAAAATTTTAATTTTATAAATTAAATATATAATTATGCGCATATATGTAAAGATGTTTATATGTAATGAAATTTGAATTTCAATGTATTTCAACTGAATTAAAAAATATTTTTTTTGATTAATACGTGAATTTAAGTCTAATTTAATTAATATATATTTTATTTAAATAAAATAAAAAATGGAATCCCGCGTCTCAATCTCTATGATACCGACTACTGGCGTTTCTCTTTCTTACGCGGTGTGTGTGTGTGTCTTTCTCTCTCCCATGTGTTGGTTTGAACGGGAATTGGGGGGTTTGAGTGGTGACTGGTGACCGACAGAACCAAGGCCCTCTTGCCTACAGACCCCATTAAC